TATGCGCTCAGCGCTATGTACACGTATACATACATATATTTAAATTATTTATGCTGATAGTAACATGAAAATAACTCCAGCAACAACAAATGCATAAAAATATTAAAATTGCAAAAAATATACATTATTTTTTTCATTTTGATATTTATTAACGCTTTATTCAATTTGCTGCAACGAAGCGTGTAAACTGCGGAAAACCGCCGTTAATATGCAAAAACAACAGCAAATGCACGGAAAAGAAGCAACAACAACATAGACAAAGCGCAAAAGTCAAAAACAATTAAAAACCTTTGAGCTGTCAAAACAGTTTAAAAACATCATTTTTCATGTAATTAATTACAACTACAAATTATGACGGCAGCGGCACGAAAAGCGACAGAAAAAATAATATTAATTTTGAATATATGTATGTGTGTGTGTGTATATAGGTATGTAAGAATAACTACATATACATATGGGTTTCATCAAAAGTTCAAGTTGAAGTTTATGTTGTTGTTTTTGTTGGCTGCTGCGGCTGTTGAAGTTGAAGCATAAGCCAATGTGACGCGCGTGGCTGCTGCTGCCGCTGCCGCTGTCGGTGATGCTGATGTTGATGAGTATGGACAATTATTGGTGTGTGTTTATACTGTTTGCATGTTGTTATTGTTATTTTTGATATTTTTCCGCTTGTTGTTGCTGTTATTAAAGCTTCTTCTTCACCATCATCGCATGCAACAGTCAAAATATTTAACTTTGCGCTGACGAACGGTAATGCAGTAGGGTGCAACATGATGATTACAAACAAAAGCGAAAACAATAACAACAATAATGTGGAAAAATTAAACTTAAATGAGTATAATAAAAAGACAGTTAACACACACTTATGATTTTCCACATCGATGGGCACATGCAAGTTTTAGCTTAATGAGTGTTATTCATAAATTATATATATATATATATATATGTATACCTGCTAGTAAATTCGTAATATTTATATTTTAAAAGGAAAAAATAAAATAATTAAGAGAGCTTTTTTCTACATTTATTTGATGATGTGACAAGAGTCCAAAAATAAAATTCCCGAAAACAGAAATGCATTTTCAATATTGCATATTTATATACCTATGTACATACGGAGTTAATGTAGTATATGTTGACCATGTACCCCGATACCTACGTACATATTTATATATATATATATGAACATGCATTTGACACATAAAAGTATGCACAGACAGAAACAAGTTCAACTTGCAGCATAAAACTTAGTGGGTTTCTACCAAATATACAACAAATACGAAAGAAATAACAATAACAACAACAACAGCGACCAACAACAAACAACACGACATAAAAATGAAGCTCAAACATGCTTGTAAGCGCCAAACTCTTGAGAAACTCAAGTACCAAAGCCGCATACCCGCACATAGCAACAACAAAAACTGGTTTTTGAGAACAACATTACAACAAACAAACAATCAAACAAACATACAAAGGGACCAGCAAAAAGAAAATATATGTCGAACTTGATGTTTGGTAACGAAGTTTAGGGCCAACTTTTGAGGTACATAACAGAGTTTCACATCCAAAGAAGGGCGCACATATACAAATATACACATATACACACAGGCACACACACACACACACACATATATATATATAAGCCGCACCACATGCTAATGTGATGAATGGAGAGCAAAAGAACCTGTAAAGTGGTTTTAAAAAGCGAAATATCAACAAAAAGCAGGAAGTCATGTGGCGCAATGAAGCGCAGCGGCGTTGAGGGGAGCCGTTGAAGAGCAGCAGTAAGCAGCACTGAAGAAAAAGCTATAAGAATAATATGAATCTTAAAAAAAAAAAAACACGACATACATACTTCTCATCAATAACAACCCAACAGCCGCGGCAAAGCCAAATGCTGCGGAAGAAGACGCTTAAGAAGTAATGCGTGTAAATAATAAGAAGGGCTTCAGATCAGATCAGCTCAAATCAGATCAATAACACACTTTTTCAGATATCTGTATATTTGCAAGTTTATACGGGGCACATACACACATACATATAAAGGGTGTTTTTTTTTTAGAAATTATCTCTTTGGCAACACCGATTTAAACAGCTGACGCACGTTTCGTGTCTTGTATCACAGCCAAACATCTTCAGTTTGGTCTATAATTTAACCATGAATCGTCTTGCAAACCAACAACGCTTTCAAATTATTGATTTTTGTTATCAAAATGCGTGCTCTATTAAGTAAGCTCAACCCTCTATTCTTCCGCGCGCGCTTAGAAGCTCATTTTTGGCTTAATGGGTGCGTAAATAAGCAGAATTGGAGATTTTGGAGTGCAGATAAGTCAGAAGCATTGCAAGAGCTACCAAAATGTGCAGAAAAAGTCACAGTTGTGTGCGGTTTATGGGTCGGTGGCGTCATTTTACCGTACTTCTTCAAAGTCGATGCGAATCGTAACTTAACTGCGAATGGTGAGTGATGATATCAAAACTTTGCTTTGCCCAAAATGCGAAAGCTTGACTTGCATGACATGTGGTTTCAAAAAGTTCATACCACATGCCACACATCACGCGTACCAGTGGACTTATTGAGAGGAGAGTTCGGTGAACATTTTATTTCACGTTCGAGACCAGTCAATTGGCCGCCTAGATCGTGCCATTTAACGCTTTCAGACCATTTCTCGTGAGGCTATGTTAAATCCAATGTCTATACAGACAAGCTCGCTTCAATTGACGCATGTGAGAACAACATTGAAGCACTTATTCGTGAGATACCGGCCGAAATGTTGGAAAGATTGTGCCGAAATTGGACTAAGCGGATGAACGACCAAAAAATATTTCTTGAATTTTTCTGAATTTTATGTGTTTTCTTTAAGAAAAACTTTCCTATAGCTCTTAAAAAATCACCCTTTATGTATATAAGCTATAAATATAATACGCCGTAAAAAGATTACATGGGAGGAATCAAATTGTTGCAACATTGTTGCATAATCGGCGTTTCCTTTCCACAAAAAAACAGCCAAATCGAACCTGGTGGGAAAGTCAAACCCAAACTCAGCTTCCAACTTGTCGACTGGTAGTAATCGAACTGAATACTTTCACCCACGGAATGGTTATTAGTTTTGTCCAGCGGCGGTGATTTACTCTGCGGCGCCAGAAGCACAGCCTGAAGCAACAAACAACAAATAAGCACTGGCGGATGCAGCTGATCAGTTCAAGAGACTACGTCTTTCGAAATGAAGAAGAGATTTTCTGCACAGGAGTGGATGTGAATAGAAAGTAAAGATCAATAATAACGCTTGGTTTAAAGCCATACAAATTAAGCTAAGTACTGCCCAAGATAGATGGAAAGGTGGAACAGATTGACGTTTAAGAGTAAGCCTATCGAATCATAACATTGTTTGAATCTTCACCAAAATGGCTGGTCGAAACGTCTAAACCAATAGACGGCGAGGTCTGAACGAAGCGAGAAGAATGGAGCTCTGGTCGCACAGCATACAGGCAGAGGCCGAAACACTCCAAAACGCTGCAAAGTAAGAGACAATTATACCCCAAAAATCCCGCAGAAATAGGGAATGGTAAAGGCTTACTTTAAACCGTGAGCAAAGTGTTTCAGCGGCGGATGTCAAGAGTTTGGAGCGGGAGCCAAAACAGCTCTCTTGTGGTAGATCTTAAATTAAATATGTAGAAGCTCAAAGTAACGACCTCTCTCTACGAGCAAGATGAAACTCAACATGTTCTTCATCATTGCCATCCAGCGTCAAAAGTTGTTTTGGAAACGCCATACACACTGCAGTCGATTGAACAATGAGCTGTAAGATGTAATGGCGACAATGCCACACTTCAGCATATGAAGTGACAGCGCTTACGTTGGCATGGTCATGTGGTCAGAATGGATGAGGGCACCCCGCCTTCGTAGTCTTTGGATACAACCAGCTGAGAGCTTAAGCTTAGAATTATTGTAGAAACCGGCACATCGGGTCCACTGTAACCGGCCTGCTGGAAACTCGCTGCAACCAGCTACTGCTTAGGAGAATGAGTTTGAAAAATTATTCTTTAAGAACCAGCTCAGTAGCGCGGTGATCTGATTACCCAGATCTGACAGGGATACTCGACAGACTCCCTGCGTATACCGACTTAAAGGTGACCCAGCCTGCAAAGCCATGTAGAACAGAGCAAAAGTACGATTGCTTTCCTTTAGCACATATATTATCACACCTTAGCCGAGACAGGGCAGCACATCATCCATCCAAAATTTCTCTCAGTGTGCACCTTTCAACAAACAAGGTGTTTGTACAACTATGCGCCATGTGCCTTTGTGCCTAGATGTATGTATGTATGTATGTGTGTATGTTTATTTGTTTAGGTATGTGTTTGTTTTATAAATAAATAATGCAAGCCGCCAACGGTCGTTTCAATTATTAAAGGGTTCAGGCCGGTTTCGTGATGCTGAGCTGAGCTGAGCTGAGCTGCGTCAAAAACCAAAACATCAAACAATACACAAAAGCAACAACAACAGCAACTGCAACAGGTTAGGAGTCTAGCGCGCTACTTAAACAGAAAGGCAGATAAGTAAATGTAGTGCTAGTGCAAGAAAGAGATGGCAAGCAAATAAGCAGTTATAGCACCTGAGTCGCTGCCACAATGCAGTCTATGCTGTGGCAAATAAGATAACGTGCACTGCTGCTGCTGTTGGCTACTGACTGAATACTGAAGATCAATATAGGCAGCAAAGCAACGCGCCTGCGCACCGGCTGAGATGAAGTATCTCTATTAATCGTTAAGCGAGCACAGGTAAAGCAGAGATCTTTCCAGTAGTACGGCTGTTGGCAGCACAGCTGACGTACACGCGCTGCCCGCTATGCTTGGACCAAAACAGAAATTCCAATATTCCCACGACTACTCACATGATGCTGTCGTGCGACGCTGGTTTGCAGACGCTCGGCGACTCTGCGACGACTCTCGCCTGCGCTCAGCTGCAAGTGCGCTGCTGAGCACATCGCAGAGCAGTGGTGCGGCGCAACTCGTGAGTACGCTCGCCCGCTTGTTTGTTGGCTCGCCTTTGCTTGATGCGCTGGCTCGCTACTTCGTTGGTTCGCTTAGCTTTTCGCTTTCCAGCGGCGGTTGCTGTACGTTTGCCTGGCGCTCCGCAATTTAGTACTCAGTTGTTGTGCCCGTCAAGCGAACGTGTTCGGTAGAAATCAAAGTGTGTGCGCGCTAACTAGTGTATTGTGTATGTAATAGATACACAGGCCGTCGGGAAAATTGTTCTAACCACCACCACCACCACCACCAGCACCATTACAAACAACAACAACAACACCACAACCACTAAAATCATTAAAGCGATATGTGTGTGGTGTCACAGTGTATGTGTGCGTGTGTGTTTTCAGCAAATTAAAGTGAAGTAAGAAGAAGACTCCAGCATAAAAGCGTAAGAATCAAGTGAGTGTGAAAAAAAGTGTTGAAAATTTTGGAATTCTGTGAAAATTTTCCCTTTTCTCGTGAAAAAAACAAATGCAAAAAGGCGTGTGCTATTTACATATATACGTGCGAGTATGTGAGTGCGAGTGTGTGAAAGGTGAAGGTAATGCAATTAAAAATGTCAACAATCGGTGCAAAGCGCCGTGCGTGACTTCGTCGGTGAATCTCCGCTGCTGGTGCTGCCGCTGATGTGGAAATGTTGTGTATCGCTGGTGCGTGTGGAAAAATTCGAAACATGAAAAAGTGGCATAAATTATAGGCCAGCGCTTAGGGCAGTTAAAAAGATAAAATCTGAGATTTTTGGTTCGAGTTTTGTTTTTAATTTCTTTTCACTGGAAATTGTTGTTGCCTCGCCTTAATTATGCACATGTGCCGCCTTAACAATTTTACAACAAAAAATGCATATTTTTGTCTCTACGAAAATCTATGTGCGTGTGTGTGTGTGTGTGTGTGTGTGGTGTATTTCTCTATTGAGAAAATATTGCAAAAACCAACAACAAAACACACACACATACACACACAGACCAACACAGAAATGCCAATAAGTAAGTGTAAGAGGAAAAACAGTGAAAAACAGCGACAGCAGTCTGCAAATACCTTTTGCACGCAATAACGCTCACCGCACAACGCGACTCCGGTTTTGCACGGCGAAGTGGCTGCCAGCAGGCAGAAGCAGAGAAGAACAACAATAAAAGGAGCTATAAACAGAGAAACAACAACAAGAAGGCAGGCGAAAAACTGCAAAACTGCCACAACGAGCCTGCTGCCATACAGGAGAGCTCGCTTTGTAGACCATAGATACATACATATGTAAATATGTACATATGTACGTACTTATATATACATATCCAGATATACGTGTGTCGGCATGTCTATACGGCGCGCAGTTGACCACACCCGCGCGCTTGATGCACAGGTTTGAAAATTTCGGAAAATTTTTCCAGTTTGGCAAACGTTCGAAACAAACAAAGGGGCGGACGGACGGACGGACGGACGGACGGACGGACGGAGGAGCAACACAGTCAAAGTGATAGTTATAGTTGTTGTTGCTGCTGCTGTTGGAAATACAAAAAAAGTAGTAAGGAATTTGTTCAAGAACAAGCACCAACAGCACATTGGCAGTGATAGGCAGTGGCAGCAGCAGTGGCGGATGAAGAAGAAGAAGCATTGCATGGTGCAAAATTGTATTATGTATGTATGCAGGCAAGTCAAGCAAGCAAAACATGTTGAGTTGGTTAACTCGAACAACAGAATTGGTCTTGGCTGAGCATAAAATAAAAAAATACATAAAAATTTACAGGCATACAAACCTACAGACATACCAAATATACCGACATACCTGCAGCAAAATAAAAATATATATTTACATGCTGTGACATATTTTAAGCTTAGCACGATTGCTTACATTCTACTTTTCATTTTCGTACTGCTCTTCTACTTCTGCTTCTGCTTCTGCTCCTGCCTCTGCTTCTGCTCCTGCCTCTGCCTCTGCCTCTTCTTGTACTTGTCTTCATGTAACAACAGCCACTTTAAGTGTCAACTGGCATTAAAGCACGTCCTTTTGGCCCACAATGTTGTGCGCCCTTTACGTACAGTAACAAAAACAAAAATAAAGTACTGTAAAGACAACAAGAAAAACAACAACACAGCAATTGTAGCAGCCGTAGTACCATAGCAATCAGCAATCAAGCACAGCGCCTTCTGCTACTCAAACTCATACTCCTTCGCACGCCTCGTCCTGCTCTCAACCCGCTTTTGACATACATCGATACTTGCAGCGATTCGTGCTGCTCGACGGTAACTCTACACTCAGCTGGGTGTTGTTTTTGTGCAGAAGCTGCAGAAAACATATCTCCGCCTTTTTTTCAACACCAAAAATTTTGGCTGCACTAAATGAGTTTCTGTGACTTCTGTCCGTCAGCAGCTTTGATTAGGCACTCTCATCTCTACTCTCAAACGCTCTTCCGCTTTTTTTTTACTAACCTTTTCTCACGAAAAATGCGAATAGACTCGATACTTTAGTATAACTTACTCTCGATTTTACTCTCATTTTGTCGAACACTTGACATCTCTATATTCGCTGAGCAAACGTTTGCTCTCGCCGAAAACCATCAGCTGTTTACAAACTGTCAAATTATTGAGGTTAATTTGAATTTGGCAGTTCACTATGAAAATTATTGTCATTTCTTTGGAAATAGTTGGTTTTTTTTAACTTGAATAAAGTTTTTCAATATCAAATTCAATGTTTAGGCCGAAAGTCCAGACACAGCCAATCAAAGCTTTCTCATCTTAAATTTTCACAAATTTTTACGATTCAGGCGGCAGTTATGCTCAAACAGAAACTCATTTAAAAAACTAAGAAAATGAAACATTTTTGAACAATTAAAAAAATTTCAATGAAATAAAAAGTAAAGATTTAAGCAAACTCTTTTATTTACCCAGAAGATCTGTTCAAGAAAATAGCTTGAAAAATTAAAAATAAAAGAAGCCGCGTGAAAAGTTTGACCATAAAACAAGAGATAGGAGTCGAAAAGGTCCAGCTTAAAGAATTGAAGACTACACTGGAAGGCCAAAAAAGAAGGCATCAAGAAACCAAAATGAAGAGTAAGAAAAGAAATAGAAAGAAATAGAAAGAAATTGTTTTCTAAAAACAAGGGATCAAACGAAGATGAAGCTAATCCCAATAAGCTTGCAATGTGGATTTAAGGCAAGACAAAAGGATAGAACGATAAGTGGAGAGATTGTGCTATAAACTAAACCTCGAAATGCAGAAACGAGTTTGCAGAATTCAGGGCACAAAATAGCAAACTAAGATAATAGAGAAATTAGCTAAAGTTTCGATAAGATATTCTAAATAGGATAGTTCAAAATGCTGCCTGGTATTTGCTTAGTTAAATGTATCATAAATAAATATATATGATAGCGTTGCGATTTGCGACCACGCACTACAAAGAAAGCCTTTAAAACGAAAATCCTAAACATAACTGGAAAGTTGAGGTCTTAGCAAGTTTTTAGAGTCCATAACGAACTAAAGGACTGCATAATAAATTTTAAACAAACTGATCCAAACGAAATGACCGAGACGACGAAGCATAATCATCTCTTAATCTTTTAATGTAATGAAAATGCTCGAAATAAGACGAAAGGTGAGAAATGACTAGACGATGCGATACAGAAATTAAGATTTTATCTAGAGATGAAATCAGAGGATAGATTAAATGACTTATAAAAGGAAGAATCTTATACGAAACCTGAATAAAGCACTAAAGCAGAAGCGGATTTTAAAATTAAAATTATATTCAACAATAATCGAGGTCTCTTCATAAAAAACCCAATTCGAATCACTGAGGACTCAAAAAATAGCAACACTTGTAACGAAATCGATCCTTGAGTCCTTCAGTAGTGACAAAACCATTCAAATGTTTTTCGCTCCTGTCGGTGCTATTCAAAATTTCATTAAAATTATAGTAACTTCTCGAAAAGGTAAAGTCGAAACCATTGTAACCCTCACTAGAAACGGGCAACTCCTTAAACCTGTCAACACAAATAAATCCCGCAACCGAGCGAAATATCGACACAGGAAAGCGAATGTCGTTCGGTTCTAAAATTTTGTTGCAATTCCTGCAAAACTTCCAATGACAAAAACATGCTTGGCTACAGCAGAGCTGCGAACGAAGTCACACTACACTACTCTGCTCTACTCTGCTCTACTCTGCTCTACTCTGCACTGCCTGCTCAACACTTTGCCATTGCGCTCCTGCTGTTTTGTGTAGCACACGTTTGGGTGCTGTTCCTGCTGTCAGTTGTGTAGTCCTGCTGCTGAATGTGTAGCCTGTCGTTGAACACGAAAATTGTGTGTGGATTGTGACCAAACAAGCTGGAGCACACAAAACAGACGGAGACGGACACAGACGCAGCTAACAGACACATCAGAGTAGGACAGATAGGCGCGCGCGCGCTTCAAATGAACTAAATAAATAAATTATTTAAAGAAAAATTATATAAATTATGAAAAGAAGCTAACGGTGGAAGTGTGTGTGAAAAGTAATGAAATCGAAATGTAAGCTCTCATTTTGTACTCCCTTCAGGATTGTGTAAATGCGCTGAAATGCGCGAAAATTCACTAAAGTGCTATCAAAAGAGGCTTGTAAATTTTTTTAATACAACTTAAAAACAGTTTGCCAGCATTTGCAACACACGCTCAACCTCGTCACGTGTGTTTTGTGTTGTGAAGTCATCTACGTGTGGAAGCAAGGAAAGTGCAAAAGTGCTCACCTCCGAAAAGTCGACGGTCCGTTCGACCGTCCATCCGACAGACAAGCAAGCGAAATAACAGCAGTTGGTAGACAAGTTGGCTGGTGAACTGTTAAGAAATGACAAAAAAAGGGGGAAAAAACTAACAAAAAACAGTTAGACTAGCAGGCGGCAGTGGCAGTGCTAAGTGTGACTGGCAGTTGTACGACCAGAATCACCACATGCGACTCTGCCGTCGAGTGAGTGAGTCACGTGCAAAGTGTATTCGGAAACGAAAAGTTGCGAGAATTGCCAAGAAAATGGCAAAAAGGGCGTGGATGAGAGGTCAACAATGTGAACAAAAAATAAATAAATAAATGAAAACATGACTGAAAATTACCGTCAAAGTGTATGAAAATTGTGAAAAATTATAAAAAAGTATATTTCACATATGTACTTATGTTAATGTGTATGCACTGAAAACTATATACAAAGTGCAAATGTAGCAAAACGTTATAATGTACTCAAAGTAAACAGAATGAAACATATTTTTTATGAACTTAAATTCAGTTGAATTGTGGCCAATCGAAAGCTTAAGTCTCAAGTCCCGCTTCCTCTTACAAATGCCTGAAAATTATTATTTTCTCATTATCAATATTGGCGTATTTTTCTTTTTATTCCTCCGTCAAATTTAATATTCAATTAAAATATTACAGAAGCTCATGTGTTAGCCATTTATGTGAAAAAGAAGTCTCCACCGAAAGTCGGACGAATGCTGTGTATGGCAGAGAAATTTTTCGAAATCCAATTGGAAAGCGGCTTAACGTGACACTAATCCCTTTAGCAATGAAAATTGCGGCTCTCATTCAATGAAGAACAAATAAAAAATAATACACAAAAATTCGCCAATCAAATAATGTTTGTAGCAATATGCATTGCAGTCAGCGAAATAATGAAAAGCATATAAAAAATTATGAAAGCCTATTGAACAATGAAAAAATGTGAAAAAATAACAAAATGATTGGCCACTCATCATAAAAATTTTGTGTTTTTCTTGAGATTATTAGAGAATTTGTATGGGCAGAATTTTTTGTGATTAGAAAGAATTTTAAAGAATTTCTCACAAATTCCATTGTCTGTTTAAACTTCATGAAAAGTGTGGGAAAATTATTATTTTTGTATAATGTTTTATATATTAAAAGTATATGGAAAAGATTATTTAAATGTAGTTGCATAGAAAACTCTAAATAAAAAAAATTTTTAACGAATATTTTGTTGAATATATCATGGAAAATATTTTTGAGATATAAAATAAAAGACTAAAATAATTCCAGTAAAAGTGTTATTGAGAATCTCTGGAATTTTTTTTTTTTAATTTTATTAAGGAACTTTCCTCGCAAGTTTTCTCTCAAAATGTAGAGAAGATTTTTATATAATTAACACACCGGTTTCCTAAGAATTTCCTAGGAATTAAAAAAAAAAAAAAAACATTTACAGAAAGCTACATATTTTATTGGGTTGCCCAAAAAGTAATTGCGGATTTTTCATATAGGCGGCGTTCACACATTTTTTCAAGGGCTTGTGACTCTGTAATTGCATTCTTTCTTCTGTCAGTTATAAAATATATAATAAAATTTGTGTAGAACCGTATTAATATTCTCATAAGGAATCTTATTAAATTTTTACTGGGAATTCCATACAAAATATTTTGTAATTTTTTTTCTAACGCAACTAAAACGCTTTAATGGCAGAGTTAAAAAATAGAAAAAATTTTTTCTTCAAAGTTTTCTTTAAATTTTCTGGTGAATTTCGGAAAAATTTGCAATGAAATTAAGAAAAAAATTTAAATAGCTGGACTTTACTGATTTTTTTTTAGCATTTTTGTTCGAAATCAAACAAAAACTTTTACTAAGAACTACCAGAATTTGACTATTATTAAATTGATTTAATACCAATTTTACCAATAATTTCATATTAAAGGGCTTTTGGCATGTGAGTTCTCAAAAAATTTCTGGTATTTTTTGTGGCAAAGAACTTCATTGTTTAAGTTCTCACAAATTTTTTACTAAATACCATCAAATATTTTTAAAATTTATTTTTTAAGAATTACAAGAAATTGGTCGGTAGCACTTTGAAAACTTTTAATGAGAAATAACTAGATTAAAAAAAAAATAATTTACAGATTAGTTCAACAAAAAACATGTTTACTAAAATTCGTGCAAGAAAAAATCAGTAAAATTAAATAGCGAGCATTTTTCAGAATTTTCCTTAGAATGTAATTAAAATTTATTTAAATTAAAAAATTTTAGGGAAATTGAATAAATCTTTTCACTGAAAATTTAGTATGCATTTTAACAAAAAATGAGTTTTCTAGATGCTAGACTAACAATTTTGAAATATATTTCTGGAGAATATCTGAAAGTAATTTTATTTAAACTTCAAAGTTTAGAAACTCATAAAAATTGCTTTCATTGTAATCTATTTTTTATTTTCTTCAACTGCTTTTAAATTTATGTTCGGAGTGAGACAAAATTTTCTAATTATCATTTTTCTGTACACATTAACGCACGCAAATTTTCTTTTAAAATATTTAAAAATAAAAAAAAAATAAAAATCAGAAATTGTGCTGCAAGTAAATAAAAATAATAAATTTGTCATCAACTTCTCTTTAAATTTCGCTAAAATTTTATGAAGTGTTCCGCGAAGCATTTTAATGACTCTTTCTTCAAGTATTTTGCTCAAGACATTTCAAGAGATTTACCTATGCTTTAAGTAATCTTTGCTCAATGCCTTAATAAATTTACTAAAAAGTCGTAAAATAATTATTTAATTTATTTCCGTTCAATTCCGCTGAAATTATCTTACTAAATTTTCTAAAGAGTTTCGTAAAGCATATCTCTGGATTTATTTTAAGACTTTTTCTCAGAACATACCTAAAAACTTACCTACAATTTAAGTTCCTCTAAACTCAAGGCTCATTTCGCTAAAACTTCTTTAACGTTTTTGAAGCTTAAAAAACTAAGTTAAACTAAACTCTAAACATTAATTGAAAATCTCTGCTGGATTTTTTCGAAATTAATAAGAATATTTATATGTACAGCGATTTGGTGCAAAATTCAAAATTTTCTGTCATTTGGTTCTCAAGAAGTTTTCAAATTTGCAGAAAAAATTCAATAAATCGTACTAAAAATGTTGTTTCTTGAGATTATTATTTCGAAAAGAATTTGTTTTTGAAAAATTCCTATATATTCTCTACCCATTTTCTTAAAAAAAAGTTACTTTTTCTTTAAAACATTTTTAGATTTATTAATATTTTTTAAATTCAATTACGAATTCCATATAAAAATGTTCAACAAAATTTTCTTGGAAATTTCATACAACAAACGTAAAAACAATTCAAATTAATATCAATAGTTTTATCAAAATTCTCTGCCTGATTTTGTAAAAAGTTTTGATATGAATTGAATTGAATTCTTTCCCTGTTTTAGGTATATTTCTTTTGAATGTTCAGAAGTCAAGGACTTCACATGTCATTTTTATGGAACTACATAGTTTGAAATATTAGAATAAATAAAAATAGAAGAGTATTTAATGAAAGCCCAAAGAAGCTTAATTCATGTGACAACCCAGGCAAAACATTTGAAAATTAATGAAAAACTTAAATAGTGGCAACACCGCTGAAAAACTTCAGCTGAGAAAGCGCAAAACCTTCTATGGTTAAAAATTATTTCAGGTTTATCATAGACTTGTTAGCGTTTTTCAGAAATTTAGTGAAGTTTTTGGAATAAAAAAATTCTTTTAATTCAAAATATATTCTTTCGGCGAATAAAATTTATTAATTTTTTTTTACAAAACTAAGGGGGCGATACACAACATCTTTGCACCGAAAGTTGGCAAGAGAAATAATCAATCTATTAAAAACTAAAACAAAAATAGCAAATCAAACCTAGTTCAGTAAATACATATGTATGTGTGTGCAATCTTAAACTCGCGTGTGTAAATATTAAATTTGAAATAAATATCTTTCAAATATATATTTTCCTAACAACTTCTGTATATCATCTCATTTTAGCCAAGAAATATAAATTAAAAGCATAACAAAAACAACGTCAATTTCCCTTAAAAAAAACACCTATGAATTAGTGTACGTGTGTGAGTGCTTAAATTGAAGCAATTGCAGAGTGCTATAAATGAAACACCTCCGTAACAATAAGGTGCAAGTAATACCACCAAACAACAGCAATAACAAAAGGCTCTGCAACTTAATCAACTCTAAAACAAGCAGTAAAGTAAAACCAAATCAAAAGCACACATACACTCACAAAAGAAAGCAGATTAAATAACAAAATCAGCAACTTTCGTTGCCTGACAACGCCGTGCGCAGTGTTGAAAAAAGTTCTCAACATTCTCGCACCACAACAGCGTTACGTAAAAAGGTGTGTGAGTGAATTTTGAAGTTCTTTAAGTCTTAAGTGATTATCCTGCAAACGTGTAACTCATACTTTAAAGCGCCGAGAAGAATTATATTGCACGCATTTCAAAGCGAGCAAAAGAAAAAATAATTTAATCAAAATAAATAAAAATAAATACTGACACACGTCCATTGCGTTGTGTGTGCGTGCAAATAAGTGCTCCGAAAGTATCAATTTCAGCATTTGCTTTGTTGAAATTTGTCATTTTTTATGGAAATAAAATCGAAGAGTGCAAATTCTCTTAACGGCAAGTAAACCGCATTTTTTCTCGCTTCTGCTGTTGATATATCCATATCATCGTTTTTTGCTGTCGAATTTTGTCGTAAAGCAACAAAGTCATTGATTGGTTCGTCAAGTTGGATAATGAATGCGCAAAAAAGGTGAGTTTGAAAATAAAAATTCTAATTATGGCATAGTTAAGGATATCTAAGTATTGGAAAGAAAATTGAGGAATATTTTGAAGCAGGATATCAAGTTTAAGCCTTTAAATCACTCAGCGTTTTGCTTTAAAAACTAGTTAATTAAACAAATATGTAGCCTGCATCTAGGTGCTATGATAAATACCTGCATTACGTTGCCTACATCAAGGCGCTACGTTAAGGATTGACTGCATTTAGGCACACAACATTGCATATAATTAAGGACTGCTACAGCGATACTATACTATTTCGTTCCCTAAATTCAGATTTCATAAAAATTGTTTATTTATTTTACTTAAACCAACTATTCCCACTATTTTGAAAAATACGTCTTAAAGTTCTTTTCTTTAATTCAAAAACTTTTCTTTTTATAATTTATATTCCGATAATGATTGCCTACATTTAATCGCTATGTTCGAAATGCAGACTATTTGATCTCGAAGCACTTTTATTAACTGATAAAAACATTATTTCCGTTAAAAAGTAATTAATTATTCTAGCGATGATACTGAAAAGGAGATCACTCACAGCAACGTCAAATAAAAATTATTGTGGTCAAAAGGTAGTGAGCCGGCAAAAATGGTCTATAAGATCGGCTTAAGAGGTTTGTTGTGTGTTTGGTGCGACTGGTCTGAACCTGGATCAGATTTGAACAAGAGGGGAGGAGTCGCGTCTCCTTAGGATAACGCCCGACCACACTCATCGATAGTGACTTGCCAAACGTTCCGAGAGCTTGATTGGGTAGTTTTTGTGCATCCACTTGATAGTCCGGACCTCGCTTTGTTCCTTTTTACGGCGAGTGATTTGGCTAGTGCAGAATCGGTCTCAAATGAGGTCTGTACAATTTGTTTGTTCGAAGTTTTTTGCACCTAGGGACAGGGGTGTCTACGAGAGAGGCATAATGACACTACCGTCCAAATGACAAAAAGTTATCGACCAAAATGGCACATAAAATAATGGATTACATTTAACAATAACTAATATTTTAAGTTAAAACTTCTTAATTATTAAATTTGAGTAATACTGTAACCACAGTAGCGGGCGCGGGTGGCCCATTCCGTGTGAATTTCTGATCTGAAAATAAAATCCTCTTATAAAAATGCAACCGCTCTAAGACGGCTTAAAGAGTGTTGGCTCCAAATGAGATTCTTCTTTCTCTCCACATTTATTAACAAAACTCACAACAACAAGTTAATTAATAATCCATCCAAATCACTAAACAAAACTCATTCACGCCCTTAAAGTGAAGAGGAAACAACAACAACAACAACAAATAACCTCTGCTAAGTCATTGATGCTGCGACTGCTGTTGCCTTACTGAATTATTTCACAGCCACAAATCACAATCATTCACTCACTTATACATTCATTTGTTTTAATAATGGCCCCACTAAGCAAATACATACATATATATTTATTTATTTTGGGCAAAAACAATGTGCGAACAATGCAAGTGAAATGACCAAATGTTGTAGAAGTTGTATAGGAAAATTATATAGTACATAAATGTGTATGTGCATGTGTGTATGCCTTGTGAAAATTTTGTATTTGCCCAAGATTAACGGCACCATTAAAACAACAAATAAATAAATGGCAAAGCCCAAACAAAGCAATAAAGCAAAAAGAAACCAGAAACACGCCAAAACAAATGACAATAACTACTTAAAAATCCATAAATCTTCAGACGAAATACATACTCGTATAATAGTATGTGTATGTATGTATGTATGGATGGATGTGTATATCAGTACGAATTTAAGTAATCCTTTTTCGTAAAGATATTTTAAATGAAACTAAAACACAACCATTTATCATTATTAACAGTTTTCTGTATGAAGCCGAGCGAATGCTCGATTGTACCTTTGTATGTGTGTGTAGATACTTCGCAATTTTATTGCATTGCCAGACAATAGAAATAAGTAAAGAAACACTAAAAACACCAAAATGGATATTAGAAGTAGCAAGTGCCTGGAGAAAATGGTAACCTAAATGAAAAATATAAATTAAATAAAAAAAATTTGAGGCTAAAACACACCAAAACAAAAAAAAAAAAACTATATAAATGACAATGTGATATATTTAATACAAAAAAAGGAAGTGGAGGTAATTTTCGACTACTTTTTTGGCACATATGGGGTGATATCTCAGCCCTAACCTGACGAATGTTCCTTTTCCAGTGCTCAGTCTGTTACGTAGTCCCACAAAGAAAGGTCATACGGCGTCAAATCGTTCGATCTCGGTGGACAATTGCCGTCGCCAAGACGGGAAATTGCGCAGCCGGGATGTTTCGCTCGCAATAAAGCCATATTCGCTCGTGTTGTGAGACATGAGGAATCATCTTGTTGCAATAATTATAGCCCAAGTCGTGATGTTCAATCCCATCCAAAAATTGTCGATTATCTTACGACCACAACGCTTTGAATTGATAGTGAGAGTATCGCCATGTTTCCAAAAAAGTTAGGTCCAATCGCATCTGGGGACCATAGAGTTCACTTAACAGTTAGTTTTTTTTGGGATTAGTGGATTAGGATTAGGATTAATGGAGGATTTTTGGAGCATTTAACTCACGCATATACCGAGTGCAAAATGTGCTTCGTCGTTGAAGAAAATTTTAATCAACAAATCATAGTCAACTGCTGTTTGTTCAAGCAGTTGGGATTATACGGTGGCTTCAGCTGCTGCGTGAGCTGGGCCTGTTCATTAGGGTAGGTGTAAGTTCAAGTGCAAATTATACCATTATCTGCAGTAAGAAAGTCCCAGCTCTTGATAACATCAAGAAATATACACACTCAGCCTTTCGGCTACATTTAACTTGCAGCAACTAGATTTGAGAAGGAATGACCAAGATGATAATACTCAGGCCTTACATTATATGTAACCGACACAGTCTCCTAGAATTACTTCAAAATTTTACCAATCTTCTGAGCAGTAGGACGATTATGGGCACCACAATTTTCTCTTGAAGCACGAAACGTTTGAATCAAAAGTTTGGTTGTAAGTTTTAACAATTTTAGGGGGTTGTGTGGTTGTTAAGCGTTCCATTTTCATGAATGCTGACATTTAACTAAAACGGAACATGTTAGCTTTGTCTGACAGATGCCAGAATATAACCCTGTTATTTAGAAACCACGAAATGAATAACCTTATACGATAAATATGTCTAAAAACCTTGACAGAAAATAATTTTTTTATTCAAATTTCTAACCTAAATTATATATACAGGGTGCTTCATCTTTTATTTCGTTATGTAAACATTAAAGAACTTTGGGAGAAACAACCGCTTATTTTAAGTAATGTATTTTTATTCAGTTTGGTTCTTTACAATTTTTTTGTACGTATTTTTAAAAACAATATCAATCAAGCCGCTACCTTTATTATCAAATTACAAAATGACGCCTTTTTTCTGCGTTTGTCATTATCTTTCCGAGCACCTCGGGTGTTGTAGCGTCGATTTCAGCACGAATGTTTGCCTTGAGCTCATCAATAGTTTGAGTCTGGTTGGCGTAAATCTTGCTGTCCAGATAAACCAACAAAAAGAAGTCAAGTAATCTGTGCATTTTTGCCACGATATTTTCTCCAATATGCACTTTGCGTTAACACTATGGAAAGTCTGGAAAGTGTCAGGCGAAAATTGTACTGAATTGACGTTTACAAAACATATCTGATGCATTCGCTCGGCTGGTTAATGTGAAAGTTATTCAACGTTTACACGCCAACATATAAGATGGAGCATTCTGTGCAACCTCCATTCCGACAGTGAATTTTTCGTTATTTCCAAAATATTGTTTAAAGACATTTTTTACAAAAAGTAATTAAATGATGTAAAACTCTACTAAAACTGCAAAGGAATTTATGTTTCAAAAAAGTTTCAAAACTTTCAATTCTGGCTTAAGTTGTCTATTTTTTCGAATTTTAAAAATCATTCGCTTACTAAGGATCTTCTCTTTCACAATACTACAACAAATTATATGCTTATTTATTTGCTTGAAAGGTAATCACTAATAGAAATTAGCAACAGGCAACCGTCGAAAAGAGACCCATTTCAAACAAATTTGCTTGGCTTTCAAAAAATAAAAAATGATTTCTTGTTTCACATGCAATTATCTTGAAAACTTATAAACACACAAATTTCCCAAACTCGCCCCGTCTTCCACTTACCGTGACGAATTAAGGCACATGCCCAAAGCTTAACCCAAAAGAAAATAAACGCAAAAAAAAAAAAAAAAAAAAAAAAAAAAAAAAAAAAAAAAGTTGCATAAAGCCATAAATGCTTAAAACGCATACCAGATCCGCTTATAATTAGAAACGTTTACATAAAAAGTGAGCTGCACAAAAATGCATACATACATACTATGTACTACTTACGCATATGTAAAAATGCTGAATGTAAATACAAAGTGATTTTCGTATTTTTTTTCCGCCCTTTTTTGTACGCACTTACACAACACACACACACACACACATATAGCTTACACGCAAAATTTTGTACATTTTCAGTTTTCAATGAAAGTTGGTTGGCTAACTGTAGTTTTCAACAATTATGTCATTACGACTATGCGGTTTTGGTCATTGTTTTGACTTTTCTCAAACATTTTCGTTATAGACACTTTTTCCAGCAAAGTTTTGCTCTGTGAGTTTTTCACTGCATGTCTGTAAGTATGTATGTGTGTATGTACTCAAATTGGTCAGCGGTTGGCAGAGTTCATAATTTAGTGTTTTTTTTTTGGCTTACTTTTCATTGCAATTTTTTTGCTGCCCTGAAATTAAAATAAATATTTTGTACATGTAAGTACATACATACATACACGCATTTATGCTTAAAATTGTGCAAAACTTATTTTTGATGAAATTTTGTTATGCTTGTAAATTGTTTATTGTGCTCGTGGAGCTGCCTTGCACAAAGTGAAGCAATAAATAATTAGCCAAAATTGTTTGTGGTGTACCAAAGCATATGAAAAGCG